CTCCTCTCCTCCTTGCTTGGCTTGTGGCTGCTTTGTTCCCTTATTTCTTGGCTTAGCTGGCTGTTTTTATTAACACTTTTATTAACACTTTCCTCCCACCTGTGATTCTGGTGTCATTTTTTAAGCCCGTCACAAGCGTCTGGTATCTGTGTTTGCACCTGGGCAAGTCTGTTCCTCCTTGTAACCCCTCCTCCACCTCTGGTCTTGAGGCCTGATCTCCGGTTTGTGCATGGGAGCCCACGTCCTTCATGGGTCCACCTCCCTCCCACCTATGCTCCTGCTCTCCCAAGCAGCAAACCAAAATTGCCCCTATAATCCAACTAACATTCTGCCTCACTTTATCCCTTTGCCTTCACTCTAAGAGTTCTTTCATCAAGTGTCAAGGTTTGTGAAGGGTCAGGAGATAATTCCAGGACAAGACGGCACAAAAAGGTTGCCAAAAACGCCAGTTTGCAAGCTTTATTTTTGACCTTCTCCCAGAAGCGCTTTCAGATGTTTATCTGGGGTTCCTTGCGAAGGGCATGATTAAGGGCAAACACGTGTCTTTAAAAGATGGTGTACTAGCTAGTGCCACATTTCCTTTGGTTCGGTTACATCCGGTGGCATTGAGAGGCAAATGCTTTTATGAGAGCTACGTACAGTGATGCCCAGGAGGCCTGCCCAGTCCCCTCTGGGAGTCAAGAATACCTCCTGAATCATGCCCCTTGATCATTTTCAACAAGGCTTTCTGTCTCCCAGCTGACATCCTAGTGATAAAGGATTCCCTAAAGTAACTGTAATGGGCCCAGTGACCTCACCTGTGGATGATGGGAGAACCATGAATCCTTGGCTTCGGATATTTCAAGGCAAAAGGAGGTGGACAAAGCATGGCCTCTAGATAGTTTAGTTACTGGACCCCAATTCCCACGATATGTGTTCAGCCAAGCAAGTAATGAGAAATGCTAGGGAACTGCAGTCCAGCTACCTCTGGAGGACTGAAGGTGTCCCAGGCCCACCTTAGGGTTTCTGGTCTGCTTGTCTCCGAACGTCTGCCTGTATGGTCACAAAGGCCCGCTTTTAAAAAGTGTAATAATGTGACTGAGATCCACATCCTGTGATAATTTTGAGAATCACTGCTTGGGTAGAAAAAGGCAGGTACATAGACCTTCTTTCAAAAAGGATGGGTCAAATATTCCACACAAATTAAAAACATGTTGTTGCCGTAATTTTGTTGTTAACCACCTATGGGGCAGTATAGAAGTGGAAACAATTACAGCATTAGATTTCAGTTAGAAATTGCAGAGCAGTCCTCATACACCTATATCTACTTTCACCAGTTTCAGACTGGTTTAAATTGCTAGGATCTCCTTAAGAGTGCTTGGGGGATGGTAATTCTGTGATTCCCCTGGGGGTTCTGTTGAATGTCCTGTGATGAGGATTGTAGGAGGCTTCAGAGGAACTCGTGTTCCTCAAACTAGTTTGAAAACAAACAAGTGTAAATTTGAAGTGTAGACGTGTCCCCGAAATTAGGCAATGGGTATATTTTCTGTTGGAGAAGTACAGTTGATGAATGAGAACTACGGCTTAACTGTCCTCCCTTACATTGAGCACAGTGGCTACTTTAAGCTTTAAAGCCCTTGTCCGTAGAAGTTACAGGGATCCCTTCATGGAAGGGAGCCTAAGGTAGGGATGGGTTTAGGTAGATTTCAGAGGCTTCTGGCTTCGCCTTCCCATCCACCCCAGCCAGCATGACCAGTGGTTAAGGATTATGGGAGTTGAGGTCCCAACACATTTGGAGAACGGCTTGACTCTGACCCGGTCTCCTACATTTTGGCAATCCTTTTGCATCCTGAGCTCCTCCTGCTGGTCATCAAGAGAGGTTCTCTGTAGCCAGCATACTTTCTGCTCAGCAGGACCATCTGTGGAGAAGCGTTGATGGTTCACTTTAAGGTAAAAGCAGATAAGCTGGCAAACTGAAGAACAGTGTATAGAACTGTTATTTGGTGATATTTTTGTACCACCTATCAATCATGCCCTTTAGATTAATAAAATTATAACTTTAATTCAGTATATATAACCCAGGGACAAACGCCCATGTATACAAATATCTCAGTATGACCTCCACTCAAATGCCAGACACAAATTCCTAGAAATACTTGTCCCAAAGACATTTTTAAAAGAGTGTTGGGGTGGGGCAGAATACATAATTCCCAGCTTGGCAGGATTTGAATAAAACCACATCTTTTTCAGGTTAAGAGGCCATCCATCACCGTGATTAAGTGCCAGCTTTCCACATAAAGAGATCTTGGGTTAAGTCCCTGAATCCTCCGGTCACTTTTTCCCCCTAAAGATATTTAGCAGCAGGCTTTTGCAGTTAGGCAAGGGATGTTGAGCTGTGACTGATTGAGGCTTGAGTGAGGGCAGGATTTACATCTCAGAAGCTGGCAAAACTGCCTGTTCAGCCACAGCTGTTCTCTTGGAAGCCTCTTGGATGAGATCAGATCTGCACGGGGTTTGATCTGTTTGTGACTGCAGGCGCTAGATCAACAGGCCTGATGTTTAAGAGCAGCAGCGCTGCCCCACGTTCTAGATTCCTCCTTTAAAATATAGCATCCTCCACTGGGAGGGCTGAACCTTAATTTTTACTGAAGCCCAGATCAAGAACACCTTGTAGAAGCCATCTTTCTGAAAAACTTCTACTCTAATTTTCAAGCCTTTATAGGCATTTGAAAAGTGTATGGGCAAAAATAAGCTGAAAATTGGAAAGCCAGCAAAAGTGCCGATGCGGATTCAGTTTTAGCTGAGACAGTTTTAGCATCCTTCAAATAGCTCTTCCCTGCAGCCAGCAGAATCGGAACCAGTTTTGCAGGACCAAAGGAAGTTGGAGAATTACATTTGTTCACTGAGCATGGCTTTGTTTGACCCAAGATTTAGGCCTGTCAGGCACAGAACTATATGTAGCCTCTTGCAGCCTTTGCTGACGGAGGCTGAAGCAAGATCACCACCATTTTCTTTCCATTTTAGATGAACAAACCTCTCCGTGCCACTGTGGGCCTTTTGATAAGAGTTCCACTGCCATCATGTTTTCCTTTCCTAGAGTGGTTTTTCCCAAGAGTATATCCCCTTCTACCTCCCACTGGCTATCTCTGATTCCCCCTTTTCCTGCTGAGTAACCCATTAACCCAATGAAACTTAGTCAAAAGCCAATCATTTTTAACACCAGCTTTCCTTGGCACCCCTTAAATTCTTTTTTCTGCAGAAACTGCCCTAATACCGAAGCATGGGCAGCAACCCTAAACTAACATGCATGGAAGATCCTCCTCTCTCTCTCCTTTTCTTCCCCTCCCCTGACCATACTAGAGAGCAGGGTGCTGCCTCTGAAGATGTTAAGGAGCTCTGCTTCTTTTCCACCTCAGCGGCCGTTCCGTTGCCTGGATTTAGCTCCAATTTGGACGGGCATGGCCTCAGTTTTGTAGGGGAGCAGGAGAGGGAGGTCTTGTGTGCTTTACCACATGGCCACTCCCAAAGCTGTGGCATAGGGTGATGTTTGGAGGAGGGGAAGGGGTGTGGGTGAAACAGATCTGGGAGCCTTCCACATTTCCACGGGAAAATCCACAATCCACAGCACCACGGGTCCAATGGACATCTGAATGCCACCCTCCTCCCAAGTCAGCTTCTGGGGTTCTGAGTTTTCCAAATCATTGCATGTCTTTCTGGCAAGCTTCCACGGGGGCCACGTGGGGCAACCTCAGGCTTGGTGTGGTCCCACGGCACTTGCACCCCCCCGCAGAACAAACCGCTCAGCGTAACCCATAGCACTCTTTCTCGGTGATCAGAGTAACCATGCACAGTGGGGATGTGATTCTAGAAGTTTGCAATGACTACATTTTATTTTACTGGTGATTTGTGGGGTCTTTTTGTTTTGTTTTAGAAATCTTGGAATGATTTTTATTTGTGGGTTGGGGAGGGGCAAATATAATTTTTCTGTTCATTCATATTCCAGCTTTCTTTTCTTCCAGGTCTTGTTGCTCTTCGCCTTCTCCTGCTGTGTGACGTGTCCACCTTTATACTCCGCCTGCTTCGCTACCATCTCATATCAATATATATATATATAGACATATATATTTAAAACTGAACTGTGGACAACTCAGTGGTGCACTTCCCCTCCACGAGAAATCAGTTTGCCTTTTTGTCCCTCCCCGCCCCCTTATAGAGAAACATCATTTTCCTGTCATTAATTTGGGAATGGGTCTGCCTTGCCTTTGTCCCCGAAACAAAGGAAGAAAAAAATGTTATTAAAAATTCTGTGGCTGTGTCGCTTTAAAATTATTGCCGAGATTCAAACACAAATTGCTTGGCTTATGAAGAAAAGGGTAGTTTGGGGGTCCCTCGGTTTCTTCTTTTTTGGTGCATACACCAGGTACTGGGGCTGTCTATTCTACCGGCATCTTGGTGTGGGTTCGCTGGGATTGCTCTTCCTCTCTGCATGTGGCATGCCGTAGTTCAGTCTGGAGCGATGCTGTGGTGGTGAAGCTCCTGTCTTGATACTGGAAGGGTGGATTTTGCAGTTGTGCAGTCTTTTCCTGCCCAATAGTGCTTTGCTTGCTAGACATTATGAACATTCTTCAAATCCGACTTCATTAAACAAACAAATTCATACATACACTATGGCAAATTATGTTGCACGGGGGGAGGGAAATCAACATTTTGTCTCAATGGCAGTTTCAACACAATAGCTAGATCCATTTTAAGCTTCCGTTTTTGACTACTGATGGCTTTAATTGTCAGTCATTGAGCCTGATCCTATGAGTGTTTTCTCGAAGGCTTTCACAGCCAGGATCTGATGGTTGTTGTGGGTTTTTTGGGTTCTGAAAGTTGTTCTTCCTAACGTTTTGCCAGTCTCTGTGGCCAGCATCTTCAGAGGACAGGACAGAGACTGGCGAAATGTTAGGAAGAAAAACCTCCAGAACACCGGCAAAGAGCCCAAAAACCCCACAAGTATGAGTGCTTGCTTGGAAGTAAGTCTCTCTGAATTTGGAAAAATTACTTTCTAGCAAGTATGCTTAGGATTGCTGCCTTAGCTCGCTTGCCTTTTTAAAATAATTTTTAAAAATCATCTTAAAGCGGTGTTGTCATTTCATTTGCCTATATTATTTTCCCACTCTTAAAAATGCTGCCCTTGCAGTCTTGCCCATCTGAATTTGCTGGGAAGAGTCCCAGCGCTGCCTTTGTGTAGCTTGTCAGCTGTGGATTCCATTCAGCTTTTTAAGACGATGTGCCTTCAGAGCGCTGGCTTTGCATGCCGAAGGTCCCAAGTTCAGCCCCTGGCACGTCTCTTTGAGAGACCTCAAGGAGGTGGAGGATGGAGAGGGAGAATGAGCGGGATTGTGTTCTGACTTGGCTCAAGGCACCGTCATATTTATATGCAGAGCACAGAGCACCAGATCTTTCAAACACCCACAACTCTAAGCATCTTTATGCTTGCATTAGAAATGGCTCTCCCCAACTTTTTGTATCCAGAAATAATAGCTGGATCTCAAAAGAAACTTGGAGCCAATTACTTCCCTTCTCATTGAATGGGGGAGGGGGTGCTGGTGACCAACTTATTTCCCATGGGGCATCACAAAACTATCACAAAGCCACAGTTCATCTTAATTCTCTTGTACAATCAAGGGGCTTGATGGAACCTGCAGGTCTTCCAACTTACTCCTCAAGGGAGGATCTTTCAGACAATTTATAGGGTGTGTGGTTCTACCCTCTGCCAAGTAAACAGATACCCTCCTCTCTGTAGTGACCCAGCTGTAAAGTTTGCAGATTGTTTGCAAATCTTCAGGCCCCATCCTTGATACACTGCATATGTCTTTGTAAAGCCTTCCTTGTAGTTGTAAGCAGAAAGGTGCAGTTATTGAAATTGCCCAATAAAGATTAATAAGTATTGTTGTGTATTAAAATTTAAATGAAACTATAGCAGGATTGTCCATTCCAGTGTGTTATGCACCACCAAGTCCAATTTAGAGTGAGCCCAGTAG